TATTCTACAGGAAATCACCAGAGAAGGAGTTAGCATTCCAGGCTAACGGACAAGCTTTATTATAGACGGTGGCATTAGGGAACATTCTCTGTATAGTTAGCCTGAAGAGGGCGCTATCGTCAACTCATATCAGAGATCAGGGATGTTGCCCTTGGCCAGTCTAAGACCTTTAACCTAATCTGCCAGTAACAGCTCTATCTGAAGATCACTGAATTACACCATGGAGCAAATCACAGGAGACCAGCGACTCCCGATACACAAACACTACAGAAAAGAGCCACCCCGTTGGTTTTAAGATATTTAGACTTCAGAATCAGAATATTTATTGCCACACGACCATGGCCGGTGGAAATTTCGGTTGGCACAGCTTGCTACTGTTGGAGACACCATGACAACAGACAACTAACAGTCCGGGCACAATGCAGGCAGAATAAATACAAGACAAAAGGCAGAGAGGAGTAAATGCAATCAATGTATGTGAGGTAGGGGTGAGTGTTTTGTGCAAATTGAAATAGTGATGTGTTGAAAGTTGATGCAGGTACAACACAAACAGCATACACCTATAAATATAGTGAATAACGTACATTACATGCAATGTGGTATTATAATGTGCATGTAGATCATCTATGCTGATGAGAATGCAAACATTGATATGGTTGCAATGGTGTTTGATTAAATGCAGGAGGGACTGATGAGTCTGGTAACATTGGGAAAGATGGCTGTTCTTGAACCATGTTGTTTTTCTTATGTAGTTACTCTTCACCAGGACATGAAGAAAGCACACATACTCAAGGAGGTTTGGGGGCTAGTAGCTCCACTTCTTTTCTGTGTATGAATTAGAGCTTTGGTTGTCCTAGGAGGGCACCAGCTTTGGTGAGTCTGCCCCAAACAGATACCCTGAGGATGGTTAATTAATGCTGCATATTAAAAGCCTGTGCTGTGGATGCATTCCAAGTGGCACAGGGACCTTCGAAGGGAACATGTCAGCCATTGTATGGCTCATTCCGTTATAAAGGCTGAAAAGTATATATCTGCAGTACCAGTCAAAAGTTTGGACACACCTAGCCATAGGGTTTATTGTGCTATTCTCTACAGTTTGGAATAGTTTTTAAAACAAAAATTTGACATATATGGATTTATGCACTTACCAGAAAAGTATTAAATAAAAAAATAATAATCTTTTGGAGGGGGCAGCTCTGTGGGTTGGGATTCCCAAGGTTGCCAGTTCAAATCCCTGAGCTGGCAAAGTGATCCCACCACTGGGCCCTTGAGCAAGGCCCTTAAGCCAAGTTGCCCCAGGGACTGGCTGGCCCTATTGTCTCCTCTATGCCATTTTCAAGAGGCCGCCTCCTGGCATGTCTGGAAGGGCTTTTGCTGAACACTCATTGGCTGCTTTTCCTTCACTCACTGGTCAAACTCCTCCAAAACCATTTTACTGTGTTAAGGCCAGGTCATGTGATGTGGCACATTGTCACTCTCCTTTGAAGGTGGCTTGGTGTGTCCAAACTTTTGACTGGTACTGTATATAGGCAAACATATATACAATGTACAGATATAGTGTATATTTAGGAAGTTTGATGATTACTTCTGGATTGGACTCTGCTTGTGTGAGCCCTACCTGTACAGATATAGTGTATATTTAGGAATTGGGATGGTTACTTCTGTATGGGACACTGTCTACTTGTATGAGCAGCAAAGGTCCCTCTTTCCATTGCAGTTTCCTATGGACTGAATACCTCTGGCATAGGGGTGACTCGAAATTTATGTTGGGTAATTTGAGCTAGAAAGCAGCATAGATCATTTGTTATTCTGTTCCCTCAATGATACATCCCAAGGTTTTTTTTTAAGATCCCAGTGGAGAAATTCTCTTCACGCCTCCCCCAAGTTGCTCCCTGTACGTGAGAGCAAGCTGGCCGCAAAGGGCGGCAGGGCCCAGGGAGCTGCAAGTTAAGGGCCTTGCTCAAGGACCCTCAGATGTGCTGAGGCCAGGCTCGACTGAGCCACATGCAGTCCTTCTGTTCCCCGAATATAAAGATAAAACCACAACTCCACACTAAATACCCACAAACCTACTTTTGTAAAAATCTGGAACATTCCATATGGTCAGAGGTAGAAAGTTTAAGTTCAGAAAGTATGAATCCAGTCCAAGATTTTGTTTCAACCAACCAGTTGAGTATAAAAAGTCACATTCATGTAGTACTTAACTGGCTGGTTGAAACAAAATCTTGGTCTGGATTCATACTTTCTGAACCTGAACTTTCCACCTCTGACCATATGGAATGTTCCAGATTTTTACAAAAGTAGGTTTGTGGGTATTTAGTGTGGAGCTGTGGTTTTATCTTTAGTTTAACTCTCCTGGGGAATCAAGACCTGTATCCTTGAGCCAACTCCCCTTACAGAATTTTGGGGTTAAATATGGATGCCTGTAGTAAGTTATTATAATCATTTTAATAGGAGGAAAATGGGGGTGTCAATGGAATTATGTCTTTGTATAGGGCTGAGCCTTTGCTGACAATTCTGTGGCTTAATCGCCTACTTTTTGCTTTGAACTTACATTTTAATACAGGGCCTTCATAAAGCGTCTTCTTCAGGAACACATCTGAACGGAATCAGAATCCTGGTATTGTTATAATAATACATTCAATGGTACCTCAGAACTCAAACTTAATCCATTCAAATCCTAAAAAGTTTGAGTTCTGATCGAATTTTCCCCATAAGAAATAATGGAAAACCAATTAATTGGTTCCTGCCCCCAAGAAATTACACCTAAATATGTTTTTTTAGCATTTAATAAAACAAGAAGAGCATTTTTTTTTCTTTATAGCTTCCAAAACGATAAAGAATGTACCCCAACACTACCCCTGTCCTGCCCCGATCATCCGCTCCTTCCATGTGCCACGCCCCTTCGTTAACCCCATGTGGAATCCCTGCGTGATCAGCTGTTTCTGGTTGTTGTCATTAGTCTTCTGTATTTAGTCCGCGTTTCAGTTTGTTTCCCCAGTCTGTCTGCGTTTTGCCTGCCTTACCTGTAATTAAACCCCGTATTCCCCGATACCCTGGCGTCTGCGCCTTTGTCTCTGTTCCATCCCCACTCGGCATGACAATATTATTATAATTAAATGTATTAATGGTTTATTATTAATGATATTAAAATAATTAATAAGAAATCTTTATTTTTAAATGTATTTTATTATATAATAATAATTACTGTTACTGTCTATCATTGTCTAAATGTATTTTTACTGTCTAAATATATGTATTCAGGTAGTGTAAACATGCACAATGCTATCACAGCGAATACGAGGCTGAGACTGAAGTGTTACCCTTTGTTACTGCTGAGAGATGTGCTGTCTACTCATTTCCCCTGCGCATAAAAGTTATCTTAGATCGGCGTTCACGGTTTGACTTCTGAGATTCAGATCGAGTTCTAGGTAATTTTTTTCTCGAACTGGTTGGTTCGACTTGAAAATTTGAGTTCTAATACTGAGGTACCACTGTACTTTATTGTCTTTACGCCTCCCTCAACTTGCTCTTTGTAAAGTAAGCTGTCTGCAAAGGGCAGCCACCCATAGCGGTACCCAGGGAGTTGGGGGTTAAGGGCCTTGCTCAAGGACCTGCAGACATGCTGAGGCTGGGTTTGAACCAACAACCTTGTGATTACAGGCACAGCCCACTAAGCCACACGCTGCCCCAGTCCTGTATTCCCAAACCTTTATTGTCTTGATTTTAATATCTTTTATTTTATCTATGAGTGCAACATAATGCATGTCTGTTGCAGGAATTCACATGTATATTTTTCATATCTTGAAATCCAAATATTCTGATACTGATATCATAAATATAATTTTTTAATTTAATGACACAGTTTTGCCTCTGGGGGGTACAGTGGTTAACATTGCCTCACACCTCTAGAACCAGGATTCAAGTCTCCACTTTGGCTCTATGTGTTTGGAGTTTGTTCTCCTTGTGTTATTGTGGGGTTTCCTCTGGGTACTCCGGTTTCCCCCCACAGTCTAAAAACATGCTAAGGTGAATTGGAGTTACCAAACTGCCCGTAGGTGTGCATGTGTGAGTCAATGGTGTGTGAGCGTGTCCTGCAGTGGGTCGGCTCCCCATCCTGTAGCCTCCAGAACAGGCTCTGGACCCCCCATGACCCTGAATAGGATAAGCGGTTACTGAAAATGGATCGATGGATGTCTATTGGAGATATGTCATTCTGGCCTAAAACCATAACTACACCCATTGGTATGGCTCACGATGCTTTTCAATCAGTTTGCTTGATTGAGAAGGCTGGGATAAGTGTTTTCATTCTCCTTTATACAGTAACATCCCACAGCAAAATTTAACAAGAATACTGAAACGTACAATTGAGAGCATAATGACAGGAGAGGTGTTTCATTGCATTTTATTACCAAGAAAAACACCCTCATCATATTTAACAAGTCTGATTATACTGCTGAGTTTCCATATCTTTTTTTCCTCAATCTACTTCAATTGGCCCCGACACATTGTCAATTTATCTGATGACCTCATCTCTCCTGCATGTAGGGAAAGGCAGGTCATTTGTACATAGCCAAATGAAGACAACCGCTCTGACATTTAGAGGTCTGCTGACCGTTTTGGGAAACAGAACAAAATGGTGTGACTTAAAATGACTCTCAGATTTCTTGGAGTGTGGACGCACTGGATACATGAGGCACTGGATACATGAGGCACTGGATACATGACGGCCCTTGAACGGCGACACTGCAGCCCAGCTTGCACATTAGAATGATTTATGGGACTGCTTTAATTGTGCCTTAAAAGGAGCTAAGAGCGGTTCTCAGTGGACCTCTATCTCCATGGTCCCAGTGGACTTATTTACATCTACATTAGCAAAGATCGAGGCAGAAACTCCAGAGCTAGATGGCTATACGGAGAATGTGCAATAATCTGAACAAACAACTAAAAACAGTAGTATATCCTGCTTGATGCTGGCGTTTGTGTTTCTGTGTCTTCAGCTGTACATCCAGACCGCCACGCTCACCATCTCCATGAACCTCAGCGCGTCCGTGGCCCTGGGACTGCTCTACATGCCCAAGGTCTACATCATAATCTTCCACCCAGAGCTCAACGTCCAAAAGAGGAAACGCAGCTTCAAGGCGGTCGTCACGGCAGCGACTATGACATCACGGCTCGCCCACAAGCCCAGCGAGCGACCCAATGGGGAAGCCAAGACAGAGCTGTGCGAGAATGTAGATGCTACCAGTAAGTATGTATTGGGTGTGTGAGGCATGTGAGTTTTGGCTGGAAAATTCCAGTTCATACAGTCATGTGGAACAGCAGTCAGTTTTGTGTCAGCTATTGACCTAGTTAACTATGCCTTATTCCTTTGTGACTATGCCATTTCCATAGTCACCGACCTTGGAAAGTTCTCCTCACCAGTTCCCTATTGATTCTGCCCCTTAACTCACAATGAAATTTTTTACCATCAAGCATCTAACAGTTTAGAAGGTACTTTTTCTTGAGGTCGTTTTATATTGGCGCCCTAACCACTCTTAAACGCTGATCAAACGTCGGGTCACCTTGTGTCTGGAGCAAATCCCAAGATGCACTGGAAAAGAAGCAGAACAGACATACACACACAAGTAAGACCTGCAGGCAAGTTAGAGACACCAAATATCTTTGGCCTGTGAGAAGAAGTGATCCCCCAGTTAACAACTTTCACCATCACCCCCCCACCCCCTCCCAGTAACACTAGAACCCACCAGACATACGCAAATGCCCTCCCCAGGACTGCATCTTAGTAACCTCACTGGTTAGCAGCAAATGATGCACCCACGATCCTAGAGGTGTAAGACCATAGTGCTACAGACTATATTTGCTATCCCCCACATTAGCTCAGAAGAATATCTGACTTCTCAGTGACCGTGACTCTATTATTGCCTTAAAGAATGCACTTGAAAGGAATAAGAGGTTACATAAACTGTGAAGACAGGGCTTTATATTTTTGTGACCCATTCTAGTTTTTTTCTTACTGCACAAATAATGTGGAAAAGAATGTCATCTTGAGTCTATCAGGGTCACCCACCTGCCAGTCACTTGCACAGCCTCGGCTGGGCTACAATGCCATTTTCCAACTTCCTGCACAGTCACTAGAATAAGCAATATAATGTCTGCATCAGTATTCTGTACCAGGTTTGGTCTACCTTGACGGTTGATGGGGGTATGGAGTCATGTTTTCATATCACTTTTACAGTAATGTGACTGGTCAGGGTTTGACTTGTAAGTTGTGTGCAAATCCCCTCCAATCCTGTGTGAAAATGTATTCTGTTTATGAACATGGTTCTTACTGAAACAATGGCACCACTTGCTTATTCAAACTAGAGCATCCTAATTACTAAATCTGGCATGACTAAATAACTAGAATAATTAGTAATACCTCAAATTACAGGTATGAAAATGGAGTATTATTTCATTTGCCTCTTACATTCCAATGAGTTGACTTAAGATCATTGGTGCCAGGGGTGTATACAGGGGCGGGGCCACAGCGAAACTCGCTGAAAGCTAATTGGCCCCTGGAGTGACCCCTCCACTGTCATTCAGTGACTCAAAGGATATCATTGGCCCCTGATTGACGCTTTCAAATGGTGTTGCCTTGATTGCGGTGTCATCCATTCAAAACACACATGGATCATTATTTAAACAATAAAAAAAAAATCTAATCAAAAGTGCTTTGGATACCTTGGAAGGTCGTCTTTAGAATAGTGTCTAAGCTTGCAATTCATGCTTCCATGCAGCGCCTACTGCCATTTCCAGACACATTAATTCTCCACTCAGTTCTATGTTCAGATGCATATGCAGCACATAATTTATCCCCGTTTTGAATTCCTCTTGCTGGCCTCGATATTGGAATTTATGCTTTGCTTTGGAGAGTTTATCTGCTTAGCTAGTTTGCTGGGAGTGTTTCATGGGCAATTGTGACAGTGTCAGACGCCCTGTGCCCCATAATAAAGCAAGCCGCGTATCTGATTTTCACTTTGCAATGTACGCCTCTCGAATAGTTATCTTTAGAATATTTCCACACAGAAATGATTTCATCCTGATGAATAGGGGACCCCGGCTGGTGGTTTAGCTCCATACAGAGAATTACTTCTGCCATTCTGCTTTAAAGTCTTTATTTTTCTGAAGGTCTTGTAGTTCACATTTTGCCCCAAAGATATACATTTAAACCTTGCTCTCTGCTGTCTGTGAACGGCTCTAGATCGCCCCCCCCCCCCCCCCCCCACTCACAGGATGAGTGGTTAGAAGCTACCTTTTTGCACATTTCGATGAATTCTTTGGGCTGGGAACCCATACACAACCGCGCACCCCGTGTGCCTATATTTACCCAAAAAAAAAACCTTAACCCTGTTTGTCCTCTTTGCGCTGCTTCTCGAGTGATGAATCGCTCTCCTTTTCCCGTGTGTTTCTGGGAAAATAAAATATTTATGTCTCTGGGAGCATCGCTTTTGGATTACTTTTTTTTTGTGACATTAAATATTAAAGCGGTTAAATATTCATTGCCTGTAGATGAGCGTTGTGCCCGTGTCAGGGGCTCGCAGGGCTGTTCGGGCATATGCCGCGTGCTGACGCGTGTGCTGGGGGGGGGCACTCCTCATCAGGGGCCTCGGCCCCTCGCGAGAGCCCTGGTCGGACAGTACCGTCAGGGTGCGCTGCTGACACAGTCTTCCTCTCTCCCCTCAGACTGTCCCATCCTACATATCGCCATCTGGCTGTCTCTCAAACCCCACCCTGCCTGCCCCTCCCCTCCCTGAGCTCCCCTTCTACACGACAGGCGGTGACATTTCCACACGAGCAGCTCTGCGTGCGTGAGCGGGCCCCCGGGGGACCGCTCTCGTCACTCATCGCCGTAACGCAGAGCGAAAAAACATCATTAGAATTTATTTCTAATGACCTGGAATTCGTCACATGGTCTTAGATGTGTACCGGGTCTCCGTAACCTGAGCTGTCCTAATGATCTCCGAGCGGACCTACTTGTACGGGCGACTTCGGTTGTGAGGGCGTAATGAAAGACTCGTGACGAAGAAGAGGCCGAACGTGGGAATTAACAAGCGCAGATGCTGTTTTGTCTCATGCCTTTTCCTGAAAAGCCCATCACAGTCAATTTTTAAGTTAGAAAGAATATATATATATATATATATATATATATATATATATCCACACACACACTCATTATATATAATTAAAATGTTTCAAATATTTTAGAGAAGTATTCCACTACATATTATTTCATCTTCAGCTGGATTTCCTGCATATAATAATGTTTGTGGTTTTACTGTTAGTGGCTTATTGCTTTTTGCCTAAGCTGACAGAGGAGAGTCCTCCACAGGAAGGGGGTGGAGGGGGTGAGGCATCAGTGACAGTTATTTGGGGCAAAGGAGGACGGCTGAGTATGGAGCATGATGACAAAAACCAAACTGTAAGGAACTACCAAGCAAGAAACTGTCACTCCCTCGGCTGTGGTCACCACTTCCAGTCAAACGTTCAAGTGACATAGGCTGGGGAGACCGTCATTCATTCAAGGTCGAAATAATCAATCGGCCAAGGCTGCTGGGAGAATGGCACAGTCGTTTGGTCTGCACACTTAATGAGAATGACCTTTTTTTTGCTTCACCGTACAGAATTTTGCTGAAGTTTCTTGAGTGGTACCAGAGTTTCTGGGACAGATAGATTCTAATTAGGCAGAAGAAGACAGCGAGCTGGATCCTGGAAACCATAATGTCACCCCATCTTTGTGATGGATTTTTAAACCCACAATACAGGAGAGAACAATCATAGCGATTCAGTGTTATCACCTGTAACAGAATCTTGTTTGCATTTTAGCACAGTGCTTACCTTGGCATTGCAGGAAATTATTGATGCTTTTCTTGCAGAAGTCACGTTTTATTATTATTATTATTATTAGTAGTAGTAGTAGTAATAGTATATTTACTTATTTGCTGAGCGATAAATAGATATTTTCAAAATTTGAGTCCCTGTTGATCGAAATTGCCCAAGTTCCAGTGTAAGTGATGAAAACTGTGATGAAATACCCTTCACAGTTGCAGATGCAGTATTCTGCCCAAAAATGAATCAGCGTATTAACCAGTATTATTATTATTATTATTATGCAGTAAAGTATTTTTATTTACTATATGAGAGTATACCAGAACACATATGTTAGATTACTGGACTTCAGACTATTACAAGGATTCTCATCATTTGAGGTGAGTCACTGGAGACAAATCAAGCACTATACAAGTATGAACTGTGCTGGACCTTCACCTCTTCTTGCTGACTTAATATATTTTGTCACTATTGTGACCGTGAATATTACATAACAACCTTCTGGGTCACTGGCAGTCATTTGATTTGAGAACTGCTTTGGAGGTATAAGATGCTGAGTAAATTCCCTCGAACCAATTACCTTTAGTCTCCGGTCTCCCTGCCACAGAGAGATATTCTTTCTATACTGGGGCTTGGGTTTACATTCGTTAGCCCACCTGCTAAGCTGAATTAGGATTCCTGTTCTATCCACTGAACAGTTAATGCCCTCGAACACAAGGAATGTGAAACACAGGAGAACCTCCACTGAGGGTTATGTTATGTAATAAGGGGCACGGCAGAGCTGAAGACGTAGGAACAAAGGCAGAATGATGCGGCAGTGATTTGGGCAAACCGTACGGCCAGTAACACACACATAAGAAATTTCAGTTGATGGAAACAGTGGACAGTACCAGTGGATTCGGTCGACGAAAAGATGACGGTATTGGAAGGCTGCTTATAGACGTACTGTGGTTTGGAAGCAGACGGGCAGATTTTCACCAGTGTGGGAACCGGGAAGTCTGTCAGGCAGCCCTCCGCTCCAGTCCCTGCCTCCGCCCGCCTCCACCCACACCGACGTCATGTTGTTTTTCTCCACGCTCCACAGCTGGTTTGCGGCTTTCCCTGCCGCCCTTCAGACTGTCGGCGAATTGTGTTCAGAAGCCCATTAAGACGTTTATAGAGCTGCTTATTCAAGACACGAGCCCAGGGTCGATGGGGAGGCTAATGGCCCCCGTGATGTGCTGCTTTGGGGGGGGGGTCTGGATGATCACATGAGATCTGTAATGCTGTTCGGCTGGCCTCTAAATAAACCCTTCTCAGTGATGGTAAAAAATATCCAGGTATGAATGTCAGCTTTTGTAGCCTCGCATCTTCAGTTTCTGTAGAGGAAATTGATCACA